TCTAGTACTAACCTGTGAAGTTGGCGCCTTGATGCAGGTACCTCGAAGATGGAGCTGGAGCGATGGCGCCACAGGTACGTACCACTGGCCTCCGCCAGTGTCTCTCCCCACTCTACTACCTACCACCTACAACGCCCAGCGCTGAAGACTACTGCTATGGCTATGGCGCCCAGCGCTGAAGACTACAGCTAGCGCTACTACTGCTGCCTAGCGCTGAAGACTACTGCAGCGCTCCTCCTGAGTGCTGCGGCCGAAATCTGAAGACTACCGTCCTACTCTCCAACTGCCTACCCGTTCAGTGCCTGAAGCTCCTATGTACTATCACGGGTGCCTCCTGACTCGGGCGAGCAGTCCAGGAGGCTGCTCTTGGCAATAATGCCGAAGGGAGGCAGGGGCTGCAGCTGCAGCTCCTGCTCGTGCTCTTGCCAATAATGCCGAAGGGAGGCAGGGGCTGCAGCTGCAGCTCCTGCTCGTGCTCTTGCCAATAATGCCGCAGGGAGGCAGGGGCTGCAGCTGCAGCTCCTGCTCGTGCTCTTGCCAATAATGCCGCAGGGAGGCAGGGGCTGCAGCTGCAGCTCCTGCTTGAGCTGGCATGGGAACAGGCCAGAAATAGCCTGTTCCGAAACCCAGTTTTCGTGCCTGATTCTTAGGGCAGGTCGAAACAAATGAGGGCCTAAAAATAGCCCAGGGCCTAAGAATAGCCCTCCGTTTCAGGCTGGAAAAACTCTGGGTCTGAAAGACCCAGAAATAGGCTGAAACGGAGTAGGGCCTGCAGGCCCCCATTTTTCAGTTTTCAGGCTGAAACGACCGGGGCCTGTAGATCCTAAGTTTTAGGCTTTTAGGCTGAATGTCCGGGACGGGTCCTACAGGGCCCGTGTGGCTACGCAGTATGCCACACCCCCCCCTACTTGAAAGACCGAGCTTACCTGCGAGGGCGAAGCTGTCTGTCTGAGGGAGGGACCACAGTCCGGGTGGGAGGGGCAGGTTTGCGAAGCTTCCTTAGCTGGTCTTCGTCGCTCGTAGCCGTTATAGATCAGCGGTGCCGATGCTTGCAAATCTGCGAACTTGGTGTCCAAAATGTCGAAGGACGCGGCCTCGGGTACATGCGGGGCGAAGTACACGAGGACGGGGTCAAATGCACCGGTCGATTGACTTGTGCGTGTGACCGTCGGCCAACGTGACTTGCGTGGGCTGCGACTTCCTCCGAACGCGTGGCCCCAAGCCATTGCGCACCGGAAATCTGTGGCCCATATAGTTGCGAGTGCTTCTGCAATCGATCAAAGCGCTGCAGGTCGCCTCTCCGATCTGAATGCGTACATATAGCAATGGTGCGTCGATGTCGTCGTACCGTTGCGTCTTGAACTCGCGGTCGATCTTCGCACTGTAGGCGTGAAGGTCGGCAACCTCTACTCCGGCGTCCATCAACGGAGTCGGTACTGCAGTGTGCAAGTAATCCCGCAGTTGTGCCATGAGCACGTTGCAATGCGGTTTCGGCAATCGACCGGACGGGGGAACGGGCATCCATTGGAAGTCCGCGAACGTCAACGGGTCAAGCTCTTCAAGTCTTGACCATGACTTCGAATCCCCGGCGATAGATGGCGGCGAAGCTGCCGAATCGTTTGCCGATGGTGATGAAATCGTGCACGCGGTAGATTGTTGCACGTGGAGCGGTTGGTCCAACGGTGGGACCAAGTGGACAGCATAATCCTCTTAAGATTACCGAGGACTTGCGACATGCGCCTCCTCCCCAGATGTGTASGGAGGCCGCTAGCAAGGCGGCCAAATCTGGCGGAGTGAGAGGTGGAGTTGCCTCACCTCCCGCGCAACTCAGTTTCCCGCGCTGTGGTCCTGGCTGTCCATTTCCGGCCGGCGATGCGGTTTTCGCCTTCCCTTTTTTCGGGAGTTGTTGTTGCTTCGCGGCTGGACAGCGGCCACCTGATCTCCTTCACGTGATGCTTGGGCGGCTGYTGGGTCTTCCACAATGGTGTCCGGTTGGACTGCAGCGACATGCTGCGGACGCGGACCAAATTTTTTTTCTCCACATGGGCTGGCTGCCACGCTGTCTTCTCGTTTGCAGCAGCCCGGTTGGTCTTGATGATTCGAAATGCCGGAACTTGAGCTTTCGATGCTGGCGGCTTCATGCCGCTGCAGCAGATCCTGCGCTTCCTTGCGGCGAGCCTGGGCACCTGCGTCTGCTTCGGCCTGTAGCCGTAGCTTCTCTGCTGTTGCCGCTGCTTCAGCGTGTAGCTGGGCAGCCTTGGCTGCCAGCTGGCGTTGTTCCTCAGCCTCGATTGCAGCGAGCTGAGCCTGGAAACGCTTTTTGTAGTCGGCAATGGACTCGTTGGCCAGTTGGCCTGGCATGCCCAGAGCTGCGCCCGTCATGGTGGCGGGGCACTGCTGACATGGCACTGTGTCTGACGTGGCACTGCTGACGTGGCACTGCTGTCGTGGCACTGCTGATGTGGCATTGTGTCTGACATGGCACTGCTGACGTGGCACTGCTGACGTGGCACTGCTGACGTGGCACTGTGTCTGACATGGCACTGCTGACGTGGCACTGTCTGATGTGGCACTGTAGCTGACGTGTCACTGTACCAACCCGGAAATGCATGCAGAGGGGTG